TGAAATGCTTTGACTCCTGTGAAACATTCCTTCTTCTGGAAATAGAGTATAGTAATAATACCACTATGAAAACCCATTGCAACTCAGTGCTACGATTTATATTTTATGGTTTTGCACCTTTGATTCTCTTTTTCCATTTCAAGTATTATTTTCCTGTTAAAATCAATTGAGTATATCTACTGAAGAGGTTTCCTCTAACGGGTCCCAAAATTAGTCAAGAAAGCTAGCTGTTTGTTCATTTGATGAGGTTTTGCTATTACTATTTATCAAAACAAATACGGGTAAACTGCACTTCCTCGTTGGCCTTAAGGAAACTGTGCAAAAGTAACAGGGCAATCAGAGTACCGCCCAAGCTTGCATCCTTTGACCATACAATAATAAAATATGGGACTACACGGAACTGCTGCGGAAGTGGTTTCTTTTGCATTGTGTGATGTGCTTACAACACATGTGGGTTAGGGAACAGGTGAAATAGAATGTTCTTATCGTTGAATAGGAATACAATAATTTACCAGAAATGCCAAAGGTGAAATACAGAATAAGTGGTTTCAAACTTTTGTGTTTATTTCTCTGTTTGTCAGGCGTCCAGGGTCGACCCCACATCTGATGCGAAGTAAAGGTTTCCATAAAAATTGAACAACCACTTTGCAGTGACTGTTTATAACTAGTAAGCATACGAAGGACGTCCAGGAAGGTTCAGCTGGACGATTGGAGTGTTCGTTTCTCAAAAACTCTGCGCACATGAGTTACTTAGATTTGTGTCCAATTGCTTGTAGCCGCCAGGTTTCTATTTGTGGATAAATAAAAGTGTATCAAAAGCAAACTTGCCGATGATAGTGAACGCCAAATAAACGTTCGGAGGCTCGAAAAATATTAATAAATCTGAAAACCCCAAAATTATCTCCAAAACCTACTCGCAGTCACTGCGAACGGTGCCATCAGATATTGTTCTGTTCTGTGAGCGATCGGTGGATGCTAACTACATAGATAAAAACTCAGAACCCATAGAGAATTCGTGGACAAAATGATTCTTTAGAATCCTATAGTCAAAGATAGTCTCTTCAGGGTTGTCTTTATGAATAAGTAAGCCATTTGGGGAGCTTAAAATCGGTTTTTACTGCATTAATTTTTGGGCCACAGGTACATTCAATGTGGGAGGGAAGCGCATTGAGTCTAAAGTGCATCTTCGTTTGCATCTCCTTTTCAAACCGATGACTAGCTTGCGATACTTTCAAGAATTTTGCAGACCGCTTGATCGCCTTTGCCTAAGCGTGCCGTACAATAGAGCCATTCGAATCAAACTTCAGCGTCACAATTTTCAACTGGAGCACCTTAACAATGTATTTTCATTATCTGGTGAACTACTAACAAACTCCAAGTAGCTCAATTCCTCCAAGCTCATTGAGCTTTTTACCGAAAATTTCAACTCAGTGACTTACATTTTATTATCCTATAACTACCCATCATGGATTTGTTTATGAGTGCACTGGTTACTCCGTGAATGTCGTCCCTTTTCAGTGTGTCACCGCAACTGTGTTGGATTTACATGATATCTCAGTACCTCAAGAAGCAAAATAAAGCGATCTGAAAGTGCTGTCATCAACGAAGGAAACAGAGGACGGGCCTAAACAAATGGATTTGAAATCCTTTCGCATATCGCTCACGTAATCATAAATTAGAAGGCTTTTACCTTGAGGCGAGCTATGGATGTTATGCCTATTCTGATTGAATCGTAAACTATTAGTCAGCTCACATGCTTTTACTGGTAAAACCATAGTGTACAGTTTAGTTTTATGAAACAGTTCCGAGTTGCTTTTATGCTGGAATTTGATCACTTTTCGCGTAATACCTAAATAAGAGGGCCGAAGTGGTTAGACGAACTGGTTTTTGTTATCGAAACGGTATGTTTTAGTGAGCTAGTGCAGTGTGATTTTAAAATGTTTTGAATTGACTTACTCTGCATATTTTTCCAATATCTGTCCTAATATGATATTGCCAGGGAAACGGTAAAAGTATTCGGTTCACACTTACAAAACTGTGGATCGTCTGAGAGTGAAGTTTTTTGAGGCCCACTTTGAAGAGGCCTGACACCGTCGCTACATGATTTGATTTTGCTTGCAGAGAGCACTCAGAGGACACGCACAGATATGGACCCAGAGCGGCTGAATAAGATGTTAGAATACGACTGCGACCAATGGGGATACAGCTTTTCGGGTTACATACAATCTCGATTACGATGTGCCTAATATTATCCACACTTGCATTTTTATAGGTATTTGGCATTTCTAGGTGGTCGGTAGCAATTTGTTCTTGGGCGTTCCAAAGGTTACGGTGGATAAATCAAACTTGAGTATTCACGAAAAGCAAAAAAGCTATATACATCTTTTGAAGTTACTTACCCAGATTCGACTTTGACAAATGATGCCAAAAGTTTCCAAAAGCCACTTTGGAAAACGAATTGCTTGGATGATCCATAAACTTCAATTAGTGTCTCTTTGGGCCACTTTAAAGTCACACCATCAGTGAATGGCGTGATTTTAAAGTTTTTATTCATTTTCCGATCAGAATAAGCGTGAAATTTACTGACGCCCAACTGTGCCTTAAAAAGCTGGTTGATTAGATTTTCCTGTTATAAAAATATCTAGCAAAGCTGATTAGCAATTTTACGGGTTGGAAAATGCAATCCTGCGTGTGGACTTATAACACACATATGATGATAGATAACATGGTAAAGAGAAAAATGAATTTAAGTTGAACCGACTATTCCGGATTGACGACAAAGTGTCACGCAAGGCACTTTTTGTTATATAGAGCCCATATAAAAACCTATACACATGCATTCGTTTATACTGTTTTGAAAGTCGATGGATCTACTCGCGTGACCAATGAGTTGTCGTTTGCGAAAAAATTTTACATTATCCATAATTAATTCAGAAAATGATGTCTCCGTTTGTTCGCTGTTTTACTCAGCAGAAGAATGAAAACATTTATGACTAGATTCATCACGTTCGTTTTCCGTTTCGAATCATTGATTATGAAAATGGACAATAGGTTGTTCCCGAGTATTTTTGTTAGAAATTAGGTGATTTTACTTTGAACTATCATGACATAATCTCAAAAACTCCTGATCACTTTGCATTTTAGGTTGCATAGCTTTTTATGGTAGAGCCCTACAGATGATTTTGAGCAGCATTCACAAAGGCATATCAATGTTATAAAATGGCGGAGGATGTCACGAGCATTCTAGAAAGCCAGCATAAAGCGTTTGTTTGACTGCATTCATCAGACAGAAAACCCCAGTTGACGGACGCATGCAACATAGCACTACCCTCATTTCGGAATTTATAGATTCGGACCATCAATCATAGAGTTACTAAATACACCCGAGCACTGATTACGTCAACTCGGCCAGTAACGAAAAGTTTGCAAACTAGTTTCAAAACTCGGCGAACACAGCAACGGCCATTTGATCAACCACCAATACGAAACAATGAATAACTAGCGTAATAGTATTTATGATATCTTCAAAAACTCTTGGTAGGTTTACAAAACGGATTTGTAGACGATTATCAATCAGCTAACCGATAAACGTTAACCACCGCAGGGAAGCCTCTTTTATGACAACCAGCGTTTTTCTATGCGTATCTATCGGAACAGGGATGTTTGATCTAACTGCCTTGTTTACTCAACGGAGTGGACATAGCAAACAGTTTCCAGTTTGACGTTCAAAAATACTTCATGCTGAAAAAATGCTTCATCGCGCCGTATTTGACGGCGCATTGAGAACCGAATTTCATACATTCGTATCTCTGCGTGATGCACCATATCCAAGGCTTCGTCTTCATTCTGGCGACCTGTCTAACCAACTGTATATCACAGTGGGATGAAAAGAAACAGCCTTTGTCAGAAACACTATTGCAATCCAATTTTTTCCGGCAGCATTTGGAGCGAGCCAATGAAAAATGCAATTTAGCTTTGAATGAGACAATCTGGTATAAGCAGGAAAGCATCATCGGTGGATCAAAACTAGTAAGCACTGAATATTTGTTCGAACCAACGTCAACCAGGTTCAGGGATTTACCGATGAACTGTATGAGTTTGGCCTTCGTCAGCGTGGAACTAACTGTCTTCGAAAGGACATGCTTAAAATCAGCCGAGAGGGAACTTCACAAACATGTGTTACTCAGGACAATACTGTAGGTTCTTTTGTGTTCTATGCACCTAGAATCCCTTTTAATATTGCATCCATTGCTTGTTGTTTGGTCCAATGCGAAACTGGGAATAGTTTGCAAGTTCTCAATAGCGCCAGTTCTAATCTACATGCAGCTTTCTCAACTGTTCACCTCATTTCTGGCTTCTAGGAAATAGCTGACCGTATAAAGCGGTAAAGAGGCAAGTCCATATTGCATGCACGACGTAGTAAATTGACGGTAAATAAAAAATTAGGGAACATAACCGGTGAAGTTACTGAGAGCTACCAAATGTTACGACGGTGTGATTAGTAGCTGTTGTCCTGAAATCCACATCTTAGGGGCTTTCAGGTAGGCACGTTGATTGTGTTTCCGGCAATCACCACGAAGCTGAGTTCAAGTGGCCATTTGTGAACATTCGTGACTCGGCATATTGTTGATAGCATACCCAGATGTAGTCTCGCCGATTCACTTCTTAGTCATACTGTTCAGACTAACGCGCTGCACCTAGGAACACGTCAAGTTCTTGACGGAGTGTTATTCGTTTTATTGCAGATGTTTTAAGGTAAATCCATCGTCTTGTTATTTCAGCCTGAGAATAACAGCTTGTATTTGCTGGTTATTTCTGTCTAATGAACCCATAGTGATGTGAAAAACTTCAGAGGTGTTGTCAATCGGTAAAGAGACCCTTTTGCACTAGGATTAAGTGGATGCCAAAATGTCAAATTCCTAACGCAAATTTCTAGTACTTACTCACTGGATATAATCATTGGAATTAGTTCTCTCTGTTTCCTTTGCTTGAACTTTTAGGCAGAAATAATTTGTCGAGTCGGAATATGGCACAACCCAAAAACTAAAACCTCGACAGTTGAAGTGAGGGAGATATGGATGATCAAAAACGACGATACAGTTATCGCTGAAACCGTTCGTTTCATCAGCGAAACAAAACATGGATTAGACCGAGCGCTTATTGAGGACGCGATCATGAACTTCAACAACTACGGTAGAAAAACTAAGCTGTTCAAGTACTCAAGATCATTGGAAATTACGCTGCAGGTTTGTTTTATGTTTTTGCTGTCGAAGAAGATAAATCACGTTGCTCAACAGCTGGGGAGTGCTTCCAGAAAGATACTGAGAGTGCTTCTCACACAAACAAATTGCAAAAACGAGCGAAATTCAAAAAAGAATTTCAAACAATCCAAAGAAATCTGCTTTAACCAAATGACTGGGGTAAGTATTTGTCTTTAAATTAGGCAGATTCTAACAAGTGACACGCCAGTTTGATTACCTACTGGCTTGCGGATGATCATCGCGAGCAATATCATTACGATGACGACAAATGTCAACTTATTTTATTTAATACAGTGTTTGAGGACATTTCAGATTTCGCTGAATGAGTCAAGATCTACATTTCACCTAAAGGGCTTTTGTGCGTTTGGACAGTTCGAAACATTTTGTGGAGAGTATGAAAGTTAGTCACATAGACGTCCAGTCGTTTTGGGTTGTACAATAGACTATCTTTGTAACGATCACATGCGTTCCAGCGTATTTGCAACCGAATTAATAAAGTTCGTTCCTCCCATTAGCAACCAGTTTTGGTCGTGCGTTAGAAACTGGAACTTTTTTGATCACTCCTACTCGTCACTCTACACACTAATGTCCGCATTGAGATATTCATTTTATAAAGACTCAGTTCGTTTGAAAATCAGATAGCTAGGGGCTAATAATTCGAGCGGTACCATAGATCCAATGGAGACGCACGGATTATGGTCCCTAACATGGATAGAAATCGCACGTTCTGCAACTTGGTACCATTCAAGACAGATGAGTGGAGCCACATTCCGGGGTACACTATTACATAATCGAGAGTATCTGGTACATATATGTATATGTATATCGCAGACAATATCGCCTTTACCTGGGAGGTTAATAGGTCACTGGATCAAGGGTGGCCATGGTTTGCTGAGACCAATAGAATCATGTAGTACCATGATTACGGTTTACCATGAACTGGTGATCACCAACAAGCAAATAGAATTCGGAGCCGAATCAAATTTCCATCCATAATATTTGTCTGTCTAGTACTTCAGCGGAACATCTAAATCCAATAAATATCGGAAAACGTTAGGAATAATGACCGTTGTCGCCAGTTAGTTTTCGCATCCAATGGACTACACAATTAACCATCAGGTCGGGTTGATGATCCATACGCCCACAACCGACTTATTCCGTTTACAGCTGTAAATAAATCCAACAATAATGTGTTTGGTTCTGTGTGTACTAAGCTTTGTTTCGCGGGTTCAAGTTGTAGGATTCTTATCTGAATCCTATATAAAGAATGGGGAACTCTTAGATTGAGGCAACTCTACAAATGGCTTTTCGTAAAATTTAAAATTTCAGACGGAGCTGGTTTGCGACCTATATATGAACAAAGCAAATTTCAAGCAACCACGATTTTCCAGATGTACAGCGGTGCTTGAGATCAGGCCTATCAACCAATGTAATCTTAATTTGGGAATCTCAACGGATGTAAGTTTCTGTGTTTCTCTTCTTTTTCTTCCCCAAACGAATATCATTCCCCATGTGTTAAGGATGGTCGCGGGTTCTTCCTTATGCAGCTTTGTTTAAACAAAGCTCTTCTCAAAATGTCTCGAAGCGAAGCACGCTTGGGAGATTTTCGAAAACTTGTCTGTCTCATGATGTATTTGGGAATAAAAAACAGAGTGATTCACTAATAACCCGCGGAGGCATCCTGTTATAACTTCTAATTGATATCTCATGAGAGCAGCGGTGTTCATGCTTATGATGCAGAACAAATATATGTTCATATCGTTGTTCAAAACTGCTTTAATGGAATTTTGCTTGAGAGTTGTGCAAACATTTCATATTCCTAAACTAAGTGTGTTTATTAATGAGTGTTTTTGCATGATCATCAACTTTGACGTAATGTGCAATAAAATATCTCTGTTGTTCATTAGTAAACACGGTGAATAAAAATTCAAGGACTGATATCCTGGAAAGCTTTCTAATCTGACTATTTTAGGTGTATACAAGAAAGTCAATGAAAATATATCCCATGAGAAATTTCGCAAGATCAGATATTCGCTTTCTATCCGCTGAGGAAGTACACGGACAACTATTCCAGGATATGCTAAAAACTGTTATTCGGCGTTATAATTCCGGCAGTTTTTCAGAAAAGGTCTCCAAAGCAATCAAGGTGGAAAATGCGCATGTTGAAGTAAGATGTACTTGCGTGATACTCCCTCTATCGGTCACAGAGCGGACCCGATGTTATAACCAGGTTTACATTATGGGCCCAAGAAACCCCCTGCAAAAAGAAAAGCAACTTACTGATGAACGATGACAACTTTGCAACTGTGTGCGAAATTCACGATGAACTGGTGAGTGCTGGATTTTACTCGTAACATCACCTAGTGACCCGAACTTATATATAAGTATGAATGAATCCAGAAAGAAACAGTACGCATGTCGTTAATCATTAGTGAACAAAACGGCTTTATACCGTTTGTGCTTTCTATTTTCAATTTGAGAATTAGGCCAATTAAGCCGTTTTTCATTGCCTCCATTAAAGGCAAATCAACGAGTCAAAAGCAAGTGGACTCACCTAAAAATCTAGCATTTTAGGATGGGACGATATGCCAAAAAATTTTGGGTCCAAAGATTGCTGCTGCGCTTAACCTTACATCAAGTTTAACTGAAGTTCAGAGTGAACCTTCGGTGCTGCTGATAAATAACGGCTCAGTTTCAGAACCACAAGGCTATTTGAAGTCACTCTGCCAGAGCTGTATCATGCATTCACGAAGACGTTAAACTAGCCTGGCAGGTATAAGTAAGGAGAGTCGAAAGTTGGACAGAAGCCAATAATCCAAACTCATTACAACACCTTTCGACTAGATCTGAGCCAATCAAATTTCCCTCTGATACTGCAGCAATATGTCAGGTGTTACGACTTTAGAAGGGAGATATATGTGATAATTCAGTGTCCATTCAGGTCGACTGGTAACGCCGAACTGGATATGTGCATGACTGCATGACTCTAAAGCGTGAGTGCTGTATTGCATCTCTTTGGGTAGTCTGAGCCGCGAATAAAAAACAAAGCAACACAACAACTCTGACTATCTAGCTTGGGCTCAATTTTAAAGTTTATCAGAGAAAATAACTTAACATTATTCAGCGGATTTGTGACTTGTTTCTTCTTAATCGATGGATGATGATGAGGAGTTTGTCACTTGATCTCGTAGTATTCCTGGAACAATTCATCATCATTAAGAGTACAATATCTAGTGTGGCTGTATCAGTCTTCCCCCGGAAAACACAAGACAACTTTGTTGGTATTGTGGGAAGAACACATGCGAGCACAAAATAGTATGCCACTACTGTCTAGAATTTCGCATACGGAAGGTAAGCCACGTCCAAAAAGGATATAATTTGATGAGTTTTTTTGTCGGATTTATGCAGAACGTGTGAGCTGAAATGTTTTAGTAAGTGTTGGCAAATCAATGAAGTCAATACTTTTCTGTAGAGGAAAATGTTGGCATCTCAGTTAGCGTAGATGGTCGCTCGCTTGTTCAGAATCTATCCAAAAAAGCATCGCCAACCCACTATTTACCTCTTTAGAAGTGAGATGATAGATGTGTTGACTTACTTTTAAAACGTCGACAGACACATTTGCCATTTGTTTGTGAAAGTGATGTTTGAAGGAAAAACTCCGGGCCATTGAAGGTACATGCATCAAACAAGCGTATTTATCCTTGACCATTGGAAAATCCGCCGTTTTCGACCAAGGAACGGAAGCGAATTTTCCGCATTCCATTTTATACGATTATACCGCATTGATGATGCACAAAGTTCCCCAAATGATATGAAATAAGGCATTCTGTGGCCTGCGGTCAAAACACAGTTTTGTGTTTGATCAAGTGGAACAAACGATCTAACAGTAAAGGCTTTCAAAGTGTGAGTGCAGCTGATCATATTGCCCAACGCAAATGTCAGAATAATTTGACAAATATCTCCAACGCATAGGAACATTTGTTCAAAAGATCTCTAGTCAAAAGTGCCTATATAAAACTGCTATTTGTAGTACGCTGTTTACAAGAACAATTTTATTTTCACAAAGTGAAGTCTCACTTGGCACTGGAACACCTCTGCCACCCAAATCCAATCGAATGAAAGTTCAAGGGTCATTCCAAACGTTGGTGATCCTGGTTTTAACACTTTCAACAACCCAATGAACCACATTCACCAATGGCGATGTCGATTTGTTTCGGTTGCTATCGGTTGGGAAGATTTTATCAAAAATTCGAAAGGTAATTGTAGGGATATCCGATCATTTAAACAACTCGGCTGCAAATGCTCCCTTTTAGAAAAGACGAAGTCACTCACGTAGAAGACCAAAGACATAAGGGTGTATTCTCATGATTAGCTATATTTGCCGACTGATTTTTAATGAGTAGTTCTTTTGAGCAGAGTAGATGAAAGGGCAAGTTCATTCCGACCGTCCTAACGCGATCACCGTTGAGGAGCTCGCCTAGAGATCATAAGTAGATTGGTAACTAAAAAAATATGAGGCAACAAATAAAGTCAAGGAAGTGGCTACTTCCTCCCAACTATATTCCTGACTTCTATTCTCTTCACCGGGGCAAGCTATCGCCAGAAACGTAGCTGCATAGCCTTAGCTTAAAAGTCTTTTCAGATTGGGACGTATTACATCCAGCTACTTGCTCTCAGCTAAACATATCTAATCATCCAAACATACTTGTAATCCGGTTGGTTACCTGAGTTGAACCTGTTTCAGTGATGTCTGCAGAATATATTTATGTTTTTCTGTTTGCATTCTGAAGCCATCTCGAATACCCTTTTACATGCTCTCTCATATGCAGTCCTTAAAACGGTCCGCAGAAACGTGCGATGTGAAGGTCACCAGAGTAGACTCGACTGGTTCTAATGGACCAATAATTGAACTTCGGAACTACACATTCATCCCAAATTATAACCTGTCACTATACAGAGAGATGCAATACATTCAACGGGGAACAGCGGAAGATGAAGTAAAAAAGAAGATTGCCAAGCGAGTTGTTGAACGCTATAATACTGAGCGCAATGATGAATACGAATACAAATTGGAGAGTATCCAGAATGCAAAATGGATGGTACGTTAAATTAATCCGACCCCGATTGAACACTAATGTTGTTATTAAAAAAAAAAGATTTCCGGTGGCAGATATTCTCAAAAAAAAAAACAGATTTCCGGTGGCAGACTATTCTCAATGAATGTGACAATGAAGGCCTTCGGATGCAAGAACAAGACTGATGCACTTTGTACAAGCCCTCTCAAAGAGGTACGTTGTCTAGTGGTAAGACACAGAAAGGCAGTCGGGGCATCAGCAGTAAATGATAATTGCTATCTGACTGGAATTCGATTTTTCTTTACACTGAGTTTTCGTGCTAAAATTGTCTTTGGAAATAAGTCAACTAGCTAAACTCGATCACTAAGAGACTTTTGTGTTGAGAGTTATTCAGCATTTGAAGAACGGGTAGCATTTCAATATTTAGTTAGTTTTTTAGATGATACTAAACTAGCAGTTTGACAGGCTACCTATATATCTTTGCCCACCAAGCCGACGACCAGAGCACTGTCGGAGAATGAATTGCAAGTGTACTTTGACAGATGCAGAGAATGACCACTTCCGTGGTCAACTGAATGGAATCTGTTGGTGAGCCAACTAGAACAACTGGTTGGAAATGTACTGCACGAAAACAAAGACGTACATTTCCGCTGCGAATTCTATTATAGTCCTTGACGCATGAGTACAAATCAGTGTGAACTTGAGGGATATCTCCCCTCTCCTGGCCGCATTTAACCTGTGTTGATCATAACTAACTTCCAGACGCTTAGCTAAAATAATACCCCTGAGAGGTTGTTTGCAGTTTCCTGGCTGACATTCGCTATTAGTGATTGTAACATCTTTGGAGCAGAAACAAAATGAACCAATCAAGGACGCTTTGTATTGTAAAATCTGACATCCTAATGGTGCAAACGTGCGACGAAAATCCTTAGAAAAATCAACCAGCCATTTTAATGGAGCACCTGGTGTCATCTGTTGTAGCAGATTATCCAATCAAGAGCACGTTTGACGCACATATTGACGCACTGATCAATGGGCGAATCAACCAATGTGTGGCTTAACAACAGTACGGAGTTTATCATCGAAACCCGTATTTCGGTGGATTTCTGCCTACACAGTAAATTTGTCTGACTAAACTAAAGCCCTTGGAGCTTCGTGAATTCAACTTTCCAGTCGCAGTCAAGAAAAAGGCCTGGAAGCATATTTTGAATACTATGGTCTAAAGTTCTCCCTACCGCTTATTCGCTGCATCACAGTCAGTAGTTTTTCCAAAGATAAAATTAATGATAACTAACTAAACCGTTTCTGATGGCAGCTGGATTCCGATGAAAATGTGTTGACAAAATGTAGCCCATGTGCTCAGAAACCCATGCAGTAATGACCCCATTGTACGAAACCAGCGTGGTGTGAGTGAAAGCTTCTATGATGAGCGTTTCAGCTGTCCGTCATTAGAACCAGCATGATGAAAAATGCATGTCAACCGTTCTTTCCGGAAAGTTTTGTGAAAGCTTTGTTCGCATTCACGTCACGCGAGTTGGACCCCATTCGTTCTGCGGATTTGACGGATTCACGAATGGGAAGGGCGCGAAGCGCATGATGAACCATACAATGACCACCTGATACAGCTCCAACCACAATACCCCGTCATAGCAAGGCAGTATCACCTTTCAAATCAGGCGCTAAACCACGCTTTGAACGCACTGCGGGAACGTTAAACACAAGGGAAGTCGACCAGTGTTTCGGAGGTCACGTAAATGAGAGCATTTGGTCTGGGAGCACCCATCAGGGAAAAGTCTCAATTATTGGTAACATTCGTGCACCTTACTGAAGGGAGACAGAAAAGCCGTCTTGTACACACTAAGCCGATTATGTTTAAAGAGGCAACTACGTCATCCAGCTGAAAGTCGAAAAATCGTAGGATATTCCCCGGCTTGTAACCATTAGTGAATATTGTGGACAGAGCAGTCTGTTCTCTGAAATGAGCGACTTTGTTTGTAAGGCGTTCCAATTAACAACAAGGCTGGATGTGGTTTCAATCTGGAGCCGGTATCATCTGAATAGTGAATGGACGTCAGATGTTTATGACCAGATTAATTTGTGTTTGCACCTAAAATCTCGAATTATCCTCAATTCTTAGTTTGATTCGCAAACATCGGCCAGTTCTATGCTTTACTGGCGGTGCTGCATTTTATCATCCGCATTGTATTTTAGCCTGGAAACTTGTCAGTGTATTTATCTTTCATATTCGAAGGCAAGGTATATAATGCAATTTTTCAAAGTCAGTGAATCTCGGCATTTACAAAATTTTGTCCTATTAAATGTCAAACTTTTTCATTCTCAGCTGGCTTATTCCTTATATTGACAAGAAAATGTATGTATATTGCCAATAGCAACTTTTACCGAGAGATGAATGAATGTTATCTGGCCTCTTCTCTTACATAAGGGATGGTGTCATAAATATGGGCAACTCATCTCAGTCGGCCTAAAGGAGTAGAATTCAATGTTCTGCTGAATTTGGGTTAGTTAGTTCCGGTGTAATTTGGCTGTTTTCTTCCTAAAGCAGTTTAAATCTCCAGAATGAACTAATTCGCTGTGCTCTGATGATGGAAGTTCTTCGAAAAATGAAAAACCAGATTATTATCTAAAGAATAGCACCCGAATGTCAGTAGATGCATACGTTGTTCGATGCGGGTCAATCTAATGTCGTGCATCAGCAATACGACGGTTTTTTCTGAGATTACTTTTGAGAATAATTAGACCTAATGTGCGCTTTATTATTTTTGTTTCCAAATTAACAGCACTTCAATAGTATTTTTTTCTAGTTTCCAGATTAATCAGCCAAAAATAAATCCTAACGCTTCCATGGTTTTCATGTCTTTACAGGAACAGAAAGTTCCACATGTTCCGCAAGATTCATCGCAGTAAATCAGATAATAAATTTTATAATGGCTGAACGTCACACGGTAGCACATCATCGAGAATCCAGGACGTAACTGCGATATTTACCTTTGATCGATTTTTCGTTTGCGTTGCCGAATTGCATCGGGAGATATGCCGAAATTTTTTGGCGCGAGAAATTTGAGGTACATGCTCCTAGGCTGGGAGTGCCTGTTGGTAGCAAAATTTCAATTTACTGTAAAAGGAGAAACACTTTAGCTTGCAGCCAAATGGGATAAAATGCTTACGATATGGTGGTGCAACTTCAGTTATTTTATAGATCAGCCAAATGTAGCAATGTAATGGGACAAATACACGATCCTCACAAAAGGTACATTGGCGTGAGCAGGCGAATTTTAAACCAACATTGGACTAAGTGTGTTCTACCCTGGATGAACTACAGCAACTCTAAAAATACCATTCTTGCGATAACAATAAAAGCACGCGGAAAAATTACCTCTTGTCCCATGGAATTCCTGATAAAAGCATCCCATTTTATGATAGTTGTTGTACACTTGGTTACACATTGCACATAGCACATACTTCTCGAGCAGTAGCCTATTAACAATAATACCGGCTAAATCAGCGGTCAGTGTATAGTGATTTTACTGTGGATCCTCATATACCACGGTCAACATAAATTTCAGGCATTGCAACTTGTTTCTTCTTTTACGCACAACTTACAAACGCCACAACGCATATTGTAGCATCCTGACACTTCTGCATTGAACTTTCGCTTTTAGATGCATGTATACCGACACTGTGAAGCATCTGCTCTTGACAGACCATGGCCTTTCAAAGAGGAAATTAATTTCACAAACTGCTGGAAGGAAACAATACTTAGGCAATCCATAAAAGGAGTATGGTCATTTTTATCCCCGAAAGAGCTCAGTCAACTGAAAAACGGCGAAATGTTGAAATCTGTTGTGAAGAAATATCGAGACAGTTCGATGGTGCTGGGACAACTGAAGAATCACCAGCTGTTTGGCGGTTTCAAACTAATGGTACCGTTTGCAGATGGATGTCATTTTTATTGAGTTCCATCCTAGGTCGGTGAAACTCAGTTCATCTCTCTCAAGATCCATCTGAAGGGCACAAAACAGAACGAGTCAGTAAGTCCCTGACATTTTATGTGTAATCGGTATAGTTGCTGTGGGAAATTCGAGATGTATAAAAATAGCCTCCGGGTTAATAATGGTTTGTCCATTGTCCAAGCGATGGGGAAGATACTGTGACCTGGGACAGTGAGTTCCTATTTATGCTTATTGATAGGTTTATGCCATGGACATAATTACTGAGTATTCTGCTAGGTGCTTTGGTAACTACTGTCTAAGCCTCAAATCACCCAACGCATTTTCAGACAACCCGCTTACTTTCTGGATTAGTTAATATATATA